AGTTTAAAAAAACAAAATAAAATGATAAAAACTTCAAAAATTAAAATCCTTTGAGATTTAGTTATGTTACTACATCTACAAGTTAGTAAAATTTAAAAACTTAAATTTGGACATGTTTTGCAAAAAAGTGTGATGAAAAAGTAAAACAACTATATCTTTTGCATACGATGTTGAAAAAAATGTATAATATATCAAAATATTCAGCATGAAAAACGTATAATATATCAAAATGTTCAGCATGAAAATGCGCATGAAAATCCATAGGCCTGTTTGCAAATTTTTAGAATCCTCAAATTCTAAAAGGAAAAAAAGATATGCTCAAATTTCAGTTTTTTTGAATTTTGGTCAAACTATGGTCAAACTACTTATTCAAGAAATATTAGTGTTACTAAATAATTATTCAAGAATATTAGTGTTACTAAATAATTATTTCAGTTTTTTGAATTTTGGTCAAATCTGGCCAAACTATGGTCAAACTTGGGTCAAACTACTTATTAAAGAAATATTAGTGTTACTAAATAATTACTGTTTTTTAGAATAAAAGTTTCAAACTCAAACGGTGAAACATGTGACCTAATACTCAAGCTAAACTCCTGAGGGTTAATAGGATTGACAGCTTACATTTCTTAGGAAAACAACAAGTGCGGACTTGGAAAGTAGGGGGAATAGAACTCCAAAGTTAAGTTCTCAGGCTGGGGTAGTGAGAGGATGGGTGACCGGCCGGGAAGTTAGACGATTTGGAATGAGTGATCCACACTTGAGCAATTAAGAGGGGTGATTATAGATTAAATCATCAAATAATTCAGAAAATTGAAAATCGAAAAAAATCAAAAAAAAATTCAAAAAATTTAAAAAAAAACCTTTAGTACCGGTTGGTGTTACTAACCGGTACTAAAGGTCCCCCATACCACGGCGTGAGCTCACGCCACGTGGTGGGCCTTTAGTGGCGGTTTGTGCTGAACCGGTATTAAAGGGGGGGAGCTTTAGTCTCCACCCTTTAGTGCCGGTTGCAGAACCGACACTAAAGGCCCTTACGAACCGGTAATAAAGCTCCGTTTTATACTAGTGGAGATTGGGCGGAAATTTTTTTGGGGGGGGGGGGGGGAATTGTCCATTTAGAAAATGATCATGAATTTGAAAATGTTCATGGTTAAAAATAATGTTTGTGATGTTTATAAATGTTCGCCAATTTTAATTTTTTTTGAGATTTTTGAAAAATGATACTGATTTTTTAAAAATATTCACAATATTGTTTTTAAATATACATATGTTTAGAAAAATGTTCTTGAATTTGTTTATTGTGAAAATGATCCACATCTATTATCATAGTTCATACAAAATATAAAGCACCTCAAACTAACAGAAATTACATCGATATTCCGAGACCACCCAACTACCACTAGTACCACCAGAATGAGCGGTCGGCGCAACGTTGTAGTCATCCCCCTACCGAAGTCAGCTTGACCTTGTCGATAACAGCCAGACAATCTCATGCACAATGTTTATAATATCATTTCTAAAAATATGGTATTGAATTTTAAAAAATATTTACAATTTTTTAAATGTTCATGAGTGTTGAAAAAAGTGTTCATGATCTATTTTTTTGCGAATGATCCAGATATATTATCAAAGTTCACCGAAGGTATACAACACCTCAAACATAACAGAAATTACATCAAAATTTCGAGACCACTAAACGAGCACTACTGCCGACTGAATGAGCCGCCGACGCACCATTGTCGCCGCTCCCCTGTTGGAGCCAGCTTGACATTGTCGATTACAGTCGAGAAGTCTTCGTGCACGTGCACCTAAAAATCAACACCATGTAGGCGCAGTTTTTACCGTTGAACACTTGAATAGATCTGAAGTACCTGACAGCAAATCTCGCCACACGAAAAGAAATCAAACCCTCCATGCCCCAAGGAGACTACATGAATCAATGTCGGAGTGCCGCTGAGTACATCCAAATGGACGAACTCGAGGAGGGTCGAATTGTGAAAAACAAACTAGAAGAGAGATGAATCCACGGGCTAGTCGACGAAGCTTATAAGGGAAAGTTTACCGTGGTCGTCAAGGAGTATGGGATGAAAAACTGAAATTTACAAAATTGTTACTGATTTATTTGTATTAAAAAAATAAATAGTAAAGATGGCAGAAAGAAAAGAAAAAGGAAAAAATATCAGGAAAACTCAGAGAAACAAAAGAAAACCGCCCCTTGGGAAACCCTAGAGAAATGGAAAATCCAAAAAAAAAGCGGTAGCGCTCGCACACAACATCCAGACTAAGAACATGCCGCGGACAGCAAATCAGGGCCCTCAAACGCCCGTGGACGCGCCCCGGCACTCACCGGACACTCCTTAAATCCTGTTATCCACATCCATGTATCTCATATCCGGTACCCCATATCCGTACTGAAGCATACAACGTAGAACTAAACAATGTAGATCATCGAACGGAGATACAAATGCACATTCCGATCATTAGAACATCACCAACAAATATCCAAAAGAACGCCAAGGTCACGTAATCCACATAAACGACGGACAAGTTTAAACTAGATTACTAAAAACATGAAATTAAAGACAGAGACGGTGGAGCTTCACTACTTTCTTGATGGCCCTTTGCCCTTCTGGTCACCGACGCTGCTGTAGGCATCAGGGTAGGCGTTCGTGATAGGAGGCAGGTTGTCGGAGTTGGAGTCCTCATCGGAAGAAGAAGAGGAGATGGCGATGCACCCATCAAACACCAGAAAGCCCAGTCCTGCTTGCGATTCAGCTTGGCCACCCACATCACCTCTGTCACTTGTCACTGCCTCCGTCGCCTCACGCTTGGACTGCTCAATGGCTAGCCGGAGCGCCTTGATGTTCTTCCTCGGAACCGGGGAGCATTCATCTCCGCGGTCGTAAGTGACCAGCGCTAGACCCATGCGAGGAACCAGCATCGTTGGCAACCCACGGCGGCGGCGTAGGGATTGTTCCACCGCCTCCCTCTCCCTTGTCCGCTGCCTCTCGCGGCAGCTAGTGCGTGCCTCCGCGCCTCCGATTTCGGGGTGTGCATCAACAGAGCCGGCGGAGTGGGCACTATAACCCACTGCTGCCCTTGCGGAGGAGCGACCGGCGGGGGAGGTGGACGATAGAGGGGCGTGGATTGAGTAGCCCGCGTGGAGCAGCATGCGGGACGGGAGGGGCCGGCTCCGGTATCGCTGTTGCGCTAGTGGGCGATCAGCGAGGGAGCAGATCCGGAACTGCCCCCATCCCCGTGCTCACCCGCACCGCTCCATCGCAATTCAGAGGGCCCAACTCCTCCTTGTCGTTGATGGAGCCGTCGGAGCGGCTGCCGGAACTCGACATGCTCGCCGGAGATAGGATTGGAGCAACTACGAGACCAAATCGAAGAAGGGGAGGGGAAGAGACGAAGCGGAGCGGAGCGAAGCGGGGCGAAGTTACTGTAGGGTTTCCAGATTGGGTTTTTTGTGGGGACAGACTGGGGTCGGAGTGGACCGGGATGACATGGCAGACGCACCCGGGCCGCCCCATATTCGCCATGCATTTGGGCTGGATATGAGGGACACCAAACAGTCCGGTTGTTTGAGGCCAGTTTGAGGGTGCCCGTTTGGGTCGCGTTTTTTTACCGGTTAGTGATCGGTCCGTCCGTCCAAACGTTTGAGACATGTTTGAGGCGTCTGGCTGCAGATGCTCTAATTGTGTATTTTAGCCATGTTATCGTTGGAATTCCACCAACATTTTTGTGTGTTTTCAGCTGAAAAGGTTGTGTTTCTTAGCCATGAATGTTCTGCTTGATCTTTGATGATGGACGATGATTTCAGCAAATCACGGAATACTCATCACATCCTTGCGATGCAAAAGCTAGAGGTTGGAATTGCAGCACGCGTCTGCTGGTGCTGCAGGTTGGAACATGGGCAGTAAGTCACACTCTTGTTGTGCCATTTCACGCTGCTTTCGTTGCACTAGCTACAGCAGGCAGGAGCAAGTCAGGTGTGCAGTGCGATGGGTGTGCGTTGCCACCGCCACCCTAATCTATATAGACTACTTCATTCATTGTTCTGTTCATTGAAGAGAAGAGATCGATAGATCGACCCACCCATAGATTCGCCATGGCCACCTTTCTGATCTTCCTCATACTTGCCCTCGCCGCCGGCAGCAGCAACCACGGAGGAGCAGCGGCTGCCGCCCCCGGCGACCGACCTGACCTTATCGTCCTGCACATCCATGGCAGTAGCCCCCCAAATGCCTCCGTGGCCTTTCAGACCCACGACCTCTCCTGGGGCGGCCACTGGCAGGCCTTCCCAGGCCTCGGTCACCTGTTCCCGACGTCCACGCCGCTCACGTTCGGCAGCAGCTATGACGACCTCATCGGCGGCCTCGCCAACCTGCCGGGCGTGCCGCTGGGGCGGCAGGCCATGATCGAGGCCGCCCGGGTGCTCTCCGCCTACGACCCGTCCGCGGCCGCGGTCGCCGACGTCGAGCCAGTCAAGCGCGCGCTGGCAACGCTCAAGGTGATGCTAAGCGAGACACAGCGGCTGCAGCCCATCCACGAGACCGTCAGCGGCGGGTGGGAGAGCGAGTCCCGCGTCGCGCCCGAGCACCTGCCCTACATCGACCACTGGGACACCATGTCCTACGAGATCATCCGCGCCAACCGGACGGGCAAGTGGAACGGGCCCTTCGCCAAGATGCTGGAGACCCAAGCCAACATCCGCAGCCAGGAGGAGGCGCTCGCCGTCGTCCGGGTGGTGCTCCATGCTGACTTCGAGCAGGTGCTCCAGGCTCACGGCACCAAGATCAACTTCCAGTAATCATGCATGCATGCTTGCTGATTTAGAGTTCAGATTTGTGCCCCATCTCGTATCGAGTCTACGTTTCTTTTATTAACCATGTTCGTGTTGTTACTTCACTCATCTTGTGAGCTTCAATATGTTCTGCTCACGAAATACAATGGTGCTTAAATTTGACATGAAATTAATGTCGAAACCCTGAAACCCTGAAGGGAAACACTTGACTTCGGTACAACTCCCCCCCCCCCAAAAAAAACGTATAAAGGGTAGTATTGTCTTTACAC